GAGAGAGAGAGAGAGAGAATCTCAAGCAGGCTTCACACTCAGTGTGGAGCCCTAAGCGGGGCTCGATCCCATGACCCCAGGATCATGACCTGAGCTGAAATCAAAGAGTCAGACGCTCAACCAACTGAGCCACTTAAGAGCCCCTGTGTAGCTTTTAAAGAAACTGCCAAACTGTTTTCCAAAACAGTTGTACCATTTTACATTCCTACCAGGAGTGTGTACAGGAGTTCCAGCATTTGGTTTTGTTAGTCTTTTTAAAATTTTTTTAATAGTTTATTTATTTTTGAGAGAGCGCAAGAGAGCAGGGGAGGGGCAGAGAGAAGCCGGGGAGAGAGAGGGAATCCCAAGCAGGCTCCACACTGTCGTTGAACAGCCCAATGTGGGTCTTGAACTCATGAACCATGAGATCGTGACCTGAGCCGAAATCAAGAGTTGGACCCTTAACCAACTGAGTCACCAGGCACCCCCATGTTATTAGTCTTTTTAAATGTAGCCACTCTAGTGAGTGTATAGGAGCATCTCACTGGCTTTTTCTTAAATATATTTTTAAGTTTATTCACTTGTTTTGTGTGTGTGTGTGTGTGAGAGAGAGAGAGAGAGAGAATGCCAAGCAGGCTCCATACTGTTGGTGTCAAGCCCAATGCAGGGCTCAAACTCATGAGCCTTGAGATTATGACCTGACCTGAAATCAAGAGTCAGATACTTGGGGCACCTAGATGGCTCAGTCAGTTAAGTGTCCAACTCTTGATTTCAGCTCAGGCTGTGATCTCATGGTCCGCGAGTTTAAGCCCTGCATCAGGCTCTGCACTGACAGTGTGGGGCCTTCCCGGGATTCTCTCTCTCCCTCTCTCTCTGCCCCTCCCCTGCTTGCTCTCTCTCTCTAAATAGAAAGAAAGAAAGAAAGGAAAGAAAGGAAGAAAGGAAGGAAGGAAGGAAGGAAGGAAGGAAGGAAGGAAGGAAGGAAGAAAGAGAGAGAGAGAGAGAGAGAGAAAGAAAGAAAGAAAGACAGACAGACATCCCTTTAAAAATAAAGTCAGATGCTTAACTGATTGAGCCACCCAGGCGCCCTTCATCGTGGGTTTTAATTTGCATTTCCCTAATGACTAATGATGCTATACACATGTTGTGCGAACACACACCCGTTCTCATATTCATGTACGTACATACACGTGAAAACGTGTCAAGTAATCACCAAAAGGTTAGCAGTGGCTGTCCAGACAGTAAGTGGCATTACATGTGTTTTTGCTTGCTTTCTTTATACTTTTAGGGATTGTCTACATTTTGTACAATGAAAATATGCTAGTTTTTTAGCATTTAGGGGCGCCTGGGTGGCTCAGTCAGTTGAGTGTCCGACTTCGGCTCAGGGCATGATCTCACGGCTCGGGGGTTCGAGCCCTGCGTCGGGCTCTGTGCTGACAGCTCAGAGCCTGGAGCCTGCTTCGGATTCTGTCTCCCTTTCTCTCTGCCCCTTCCCTGCTTGCTCTCTATCTCTCCCTCTCTCAAAATAAATAAACAAACAAACATTAAAAAATTAAAAAAATAAAATAACTAAACAAGGGGCGCCTGGTTGGCTCAGTCAGGGAAGCATACAACTCTTGATGTTGAAGTCGTGAGTCTGAGCCCCATGTGAGGTGTAGAGACTACTTAAATAAGTAAAACTTCTAAAAACATCAAAAAAATTACTAGACAAAATTATAATAAAACTATTTTAATTAGTTTTTTTCTGTCGGGGGTGGGGGTGACGAATTGAAACATTCCCCCGACTATGTGAAAAAAACATTCTGACCTTCCGAATGTTCTCAGTGTGCCCCCGTCGGGAACTTGGCCAGCACTGACTTCCCAGGGGAAGTAATAGATCCCAGGTTTGGGCAGCATCTCAAAGAGCAGAGGTGGATTTTTGAAGATTCCTGACAAACCAAGCAGAACACAAGACTGAGATTAGCAGGTTCCCGAGACCAGCCACACAGGAAAGGCAGGTTCCAGTGGGTAGCAGTTTAATAAAAAACAAAATATTTCGGGGTGCCCAGGTGGCTCAGTCGGTTGAGTTTCTGACTTCAGCTCAGGTCATGATTACACAGTTTGTGGGTCTGAGCCCCACCTTGGGCTCTGCTACACCTTGGAGCCTGGAGCCTGCCTCAGATTCGGTGCCTCCCTCTGTCTCTGCCCCTCCCTCGCCCACACTCTGTCTCTGTCTCTGTGTCTGTCTGTCTCTCTCTCTCAAAAATAAATAAGAACACTTTAGGGCGCCTGGGTGTGTGACTTCGGCTCAGGTCATGATCTCATGATCCCACGTCGGGCTCTGTGCTGACAGCTCGGAGCCTGGAGATTGCTTCAGATTCTATGTCTCTCTCTCTCTCTCTCTGCTCCTCCCCTACTCCCACTCTGTCTCTCTCTCAAAAATAAACATTAAAAAAAATTTTTTTTAATCAATAAACACATTTAAAAAAATTAACACTTAAAAAAGTGAAAAATCAGATTTTTGATAGGTTATGCATTCACCAATTTTAAAAAGCAAAACAACATAAAACACGATCTACGTGGAAAAGTGTTGTCCCACCCAAATCCCTATGCAACCCACTCCCTCCCCGATCCCCTGAAGAGGGGTCTGTGAGAGGGCAGAGGGTGACATACGATCTCTGTGGTGACTACTGAACCCTGCCATTGTAGTATGGCAATCACAACAATACATAGAGAAGTGAGCATGGCTTGTTCCTTAAACTTTATTTACAAAAACATGCTGTGAGCTGGATCTGGCCTGGGCTGACGTTTGCCAACCCTGGCCCTTAAATAAAACCAGTTTTACTCATTTTTATGCACCCTTCCAGTGTTGCGTTATGCAAATAAAAGTAAATATAAGTAGATATTTATTTCCCCCCTACAGTATACATGCTGTCCCATATCTTGATTTTTTTTCACCTGATATATTTTGACATTCTCTCCTAGGTGTACACAAAGGGAGTCTTCACTTTTTAAAAATCACCTGTTTATTTTTGAACAGTTTTAGATTTATATTTAAAAAAAAAAAAGGGGGGGGGACGCCTGGTGGCTCAGTCAGTTGAGTGTCCGACATTGGCCCCTTCCCCAGCTCACACTCTGTCTCTGTCTCTGTCTCTCTCAAAAATAAATAAACATTAAAAAAATTTTTATTAAAAAAAAAAAACCTGTAGGGGCACCTGGGTGGCTCAGTTGGGTAAGCGTCCAACTCTTGTTATCAGCTCACTTCTGGATCTCAGGGTCTTGAGTTTGAGCTCCACGTTGGGCTCAGTGCTGGGAGTGGAGCCTACTGAAAAAAAAAAAAAACAAACAGCAACTCTGTAAAGACAGTACATCATACCCACCTTTCCCTCTAATTAACATCTTACATTAGTACGACACATTTGCCACTATTAATGAACCTCTATCAATATGTTATTAACAACTCAACAACATACTGTATTTGGATTTCCTTAGTTTTTTCCCTAATGTCCCTTTTCTGTTCCACAGTCCGTTCCGGAATGCCGCATTACATTCAGTTGTTATGTCTCTTTAGACTCTTCTAGGCTGTGATAATTTCTCAGACTCTCCTTGCCTTTTGACCTTGAGAATTTTGAGGTATTTTGTACTATGATCTTCAGTTTCGGTTTTGTCTAATGTCTTTCTCATGGTTACACTAGGGTTACGAGTGTTTGTTAGTAATTTTATTTTATTTATTTTTTTTTTAATTTTTTTTTCAACGTTTATTTATTTTGGGGACAGAGAGAGACAGAGCATGAACGGGGGAGGGGCAGAGAGAGAGGGAGACACAGAATCGGAAACAGGCTCCAGGCTCTGAGCCATCAGCCCAGAGCCCGACGCGGGGCTCGAACTCATGGACCACGAGATCGTGACCTGGCTGAAGTCGGACGCTTAACCGACTGCGCCACCCAGGCGCCCCTTGTTAGTAATTTTAAAAAGAGAAAGAGAAGGGGCGCCTGGGTGGCGCAGTCGGTTAAGCGTCCGACTTCGGCTCAGGTCATGACCTCACGGTTCACGAGTTTGAGCCCTGCATGGGGCTCTGTGCTGACAGCTCAGAGCCTGGAGCCTACTCCCTTTCTCTCTGCCCCTCCCCCATACATGCTCTGTCTCTGTCACTCACAAATAAATAAAAACATAAAAAAAAATTTAAAAAGAGAAAGAAAAGACAAGTTATATAAGTGATGTAATAATGATACTATGGACATTCAGCAGGCTTCTTAGGATGACACATTATACGCGTTTGTATGGCAAGATCTCCAAGATCTATCATTAGGAAAAAAGTAAGGAGCAGGCGTTTACATCTAATATGTACATTTGCATATGTGAGAGCAAAAGAACACTCCAGAGTTCAATGACACGAGGACCATGAGGATTAATGACAAAGGAATCCTGAAGGTGACAGCTTCAGCTATTTGACAGGATGCGCCAATGGACATATAAACAAAGAAACTTGTAATTATATCATCCCCAGTAAGATTCTTGGAAAAACCAGAGGATACAGCTTTAGTGCAGAAGTTTATGTTACCTAGAAACTTGCACAATTGGTTTCAGGACCTCTAACGTGGGGTTCATCAGGAGTGTTGTTGGTCAATGTTCTAAGGTCATTTCAAGATAGCGTGTAGAATAGCAGCACAGGGGCAACTGGCCAAGGCCCCATCCTATTTTGCCCTAAGTGCCGATGTTCTAATCACTGTGACCAGGGAGCAGAGCCGTTCCTGTCCCCAGAAATGAGAGAGCCCCCTAATCATCTCTGGCATGAGAGAGAAGCAAAAAAACAAACCAAAAAAAACAAAAGTCAGCCGTAAAGGGAAAATGTTGTGGTTTCTGTTTTGGAATAATGGGGACAATTCTGTCCAATCTAGCAAAAAGGTGAAAACTTAGAATCTTTTGTAAAAAGTAATTTTTCTGCTCTCAGACACCACATATACTATACGCTGTAAGTAACCACATCACTAAATTTATTATTATTTTTTGAATTGTCATACAGTGGAATTGACTCTGGGGAGGGGGCATGCGCTTTTGTAAACTTTAACCTCATTGATTTTTTTTCCAACAAAAGTTGCTATGTGTTTATTAAGACATGTCTGTTAATTTACAAAGCACAGCGGGCTCACCAAATCATTATCTATGTATCATCAGACATTCAAGAGAGTTTCTGAGTAGGTATGTCAGGACTGGCTTTTCTTGTGGCTCAGCAGGATTTCAAATAATGTCTTTAGAAGTCTGAGTACCTGTATAACCTGTACTTGGGAGCCTTCCCTTTTCATTGCCCAAGGCAAAATATCCACTTCTGGGAGAAAAATCCATGGTATGAACAAGAGAAATCTTCTTCTTCTTCTTCTTCTTTTTTAAAAAACAACTGGGGGGCGCCTGGGTGGCGCAGTCGGTTAAGCATCCGACTTCAGCCAGGTCACGATCTCACGGTCCGTGAGTTCGAGCCCCGCGTCAGGCTCTGGGCTGATGGCTCGGAGCCTGGAGGCTGTTTCCGATTCTGTGTCTCCCTCTCTCTCTGCACCACCCCCCCCCCGTTCATGCTCTGTGTCTCTCTGTCCCAAAAATAAGTAAAAAATGTTGAAAAAAAAATTTTTTTTAAATAAAAAATAAAAAACAACTGGGAAATTAGAAAATACCATACGGGAAGGATGGGAAGGATAGTGACCCAGTGTGACTGCTTCTTCCTTTTTTTTCTGAAGCAATTGCTAAGATTTCTGCAGTAGGACTGAAGGACAGAGAAGTAACACCCAAAACCAAGATCATTACAGCTTTTATCAGCTTTGGGTTTCCTTCTAGGGGATAAGAATCTTGATCGTATATGTTTACTACTCCACAATTGGAAGAGATCCCCGGTTTATTATAAAAAGATAAGAGTCAGGAACAGCCAGATGGAAGAGACGTGTGGAGCAAGGTATGTGGGAAGGGGCGTGGTGCTCCCATGTTGTCTCAGAGCACCACACTGTCCCCCACCTGGGCTTGATCACCAACCCTGACTCAAAAATGTTTGTAAAGTTACAATTCTTTGCTAGCTTATATTGCACAACGAACCTTCAACTTTAAAGTTCAAATTGCATCAGGTTGTTTGAACTTTGGCCTCAGAAGATTCTATCACATGGGGATTGCTACAAATTTTAAATGTAACCTCAACGAAGTGAATTTTACAAAAACAAAATAAAAGGATTGTGTACCGTGTCTTTAAAAGTTTTGCAATCACCAGAGTAAAAATGTATCCAGAGAAGAATCATCAATGAATGTTACATGTACTGGGTAAGAGTCCGATGAGGAACCACAGAGCCCGACGTGGTGCCCAAACTCATCAACCACGAGATCATGACCTGAGTTGAAGTCAGATGCTTAACTGACTGAACCACCCAGGTGCCCCTACTGTAGATAGTTTTTTAAGAAACATTTGAATTGATTGCAATGATGACAAGAAATTTGTGCTAATATTTCCAAGTGTGATAATGATATTAGGATCATGTTAAAAATAGTTTAAAGATACATCCTAAAAGTATTTATAGGTGATAGGATATTGGATTTACTTAAAATTAATGTGGTAGGGAAGTGGATGGAATTATAGTGGAAAATTATTGGACCTGGGGGAAAAGTATATGGGGTTTGTTGTATTATTCCTTCTACCTTTGTACGTCTGAACATTTCCACAACAAAATGTTTAAAAATGTAAATCAGATCACATAACCCCAATGAAAATCTAAAAGCTTCCTATTATAAACTCCTGTTAAAATTGAAGATCTTGGGGCATCTAGGTGGCTAAGAGTCAGTTGTCGGACTCTTGATTTTGGCTGTCATGACCCCAGGATCGTGGGATCGAGTCTTTCATCAGGATCCTTGCTGAGCAGTGAGCCTGCTTAAGATTCTCAATCTCTGTCTCTCTCTCTCTCCCCTGCTGCCCTTCGCCCCCACTCCCACTCTGTCTCCAAAAAATCAATTAAGTAAAAAATTGAAAGTCTTTTTGTTGGCCCACAATGCCACATGGCGTTGGCACCTGGCCTACCTTTCTGCCCTTGTTTACCACCACACCTCCTCTAGCTCGCCCTCAGGACCTGCACACTTGCTTTTCCTCAGACTTGAGCAGTCTTCCCCAGACCTTCATGTAACTGGTTTTCTTTCCTTACTTTGGCCCCACCGCATCCTCCTCTTCCTCGGCGAGGCCTTCCCTGTCGACCCTCTCCAAATTCTCATTCTCCACCACCCCCAGTCACTCTATCCCCTTAGCTTCATTTATTTTCTTTCATTCCAGTTTACTGACTAATACAATTTCAAACAGTGGGATTTGTTTACTTGTTTAATGCCTCTGTCTCCCACTAGATTACCAGTTCCAGGAGGGCAGGGTTTCCTCTATTCCTCAGAGTCTCTCCTGTGCCTAACACAGCATCTGGTACAGTATTAAATATTTACTGAACAGGTGAATGTATTCATGAAGAAAAGACCATGTACCTCCACACTCAGCCTGGACACAGAGAACCCAAACCACATCTTACTGCCTACATTAACGGGACTTTAGCTTCCATTAGCACTTTTTTTTTTTTTCCTTTAAATACTTTTCCTGAATGTCCAGCCTATGCAAATGGTTTGACCATCAATAGCCAGTTTGCCCACTGAGATGATCTGAATTCTCTTGCCTTGCCGTTTCCACCATTGTTCTACTGTCGCGCATCAGTTCTTACCCAACCCTGAAGTGAACGACATGCCTTAAACCAAACTTCCAACTCACCATAAATTCTGGCCTTACCTTCTCCTGAGGCCCTGCCAAAGCTCTGCCAAGTAGTGCTCTCCCTTACCTGAGTAAGCCATCACCTCACTTTTGTCTTATATTGTTACCTTGGTGGTATTTGGAAAGCCAGCTTCTGACAAGAGGAGTAAAATCCAAACACAGTAGCCAAACTAAATAACAGTTTAATGTCTGGGGGCATTAAAAACGTAGCAACAGTGGCTAGTCCTGGTATATGGGGAACTGAGACAAAAGGAAAGATCAGTAATAACTATCTTGCCTTTATCAATCTTGGTTAGTGCTCCCTTAAATTGTGTCCCAAGGGGATGCTTCACTTACCTTAACCTATTCCCAGGATTACTACTAAAAACTGATGTAATAAGTAACAGAGAACGGAGTGCATAGTTTTAAAACCCAATGCTTTAAGTTACAAGGGTAAATTAGGGAGAGATAAAGAAGGGGATGGTGTACTATGCTCGATCCTCATTTATCGTGGTATGAAGTCAAACGTTAACTAGAAGAAATCAGGAACTAGCATGTAAGTATTTTGTTTAGCAATTTTTTAGCAATCAGAATTAAAAACACAACTGGTTGAAGGGGGCTGCCTCTGAGGATGGGGAGCTTTCTCATTACAAATTCTCGGATACTAGGTACCCTAAACGTGGGCAACTGTTACTTTGATGACGACGATGATAACTGGGAAAACAAAAAAGTCCGGATTCCAAGACCTCTAAACTGCCAGCTCGGTCATAATCTGGTCCACACCCACCCCACAGACAGGGAGCAGCGCCGGCAATCCCATACTCAGCTCCCCGAAGCTTCAGGCAGCAAGGATGCCATTATCTTAACACAAGATAACTGGAGTCTCTTCCCAGTGCGACTTTTGTTCTAGTCCCTTTTTCTCCCTCCAACCTGGAAGGGCTCGGGGAAATCCTACGACAACCCACCCCAACAACGTCGCACGGCCGACAGACTCAACCCCGCCCAGAACCTTGGGTCCACCTTCCCACCTCATTTCCGGGGAGGCCTTTGCACGCGGACCCGGAAGCGGCGGGACCGGCAACTGCTAAGGCGCAGGCGCACTCCTCCTCAGTCGCGTCGTCCCGCCCCTTCCCAACCCCGTCGCCAACCTGTCCGGGCGTCGCAGCGGCCCTGGGTTCCCTCTTTTCGCCCCGCGCGGTCACGTGACGAGGGAGGGGCGGGTTAGCGGGAGCTCCGCGCTTCTTCCTCCAGGGCAATTTCTGGCTCGTCTTCCGGGGTCTCCTTCCCTGGGGGCCGCCCTAGGACTTCCCTGGACGAGAGCGGGGGGCTCGTCCGCCCCCCTGCCGGCCGCGGTCACGGCGTCCACGCCGGCGCCGCCTCCGCCTGGGCCTCAGTCGGCGGAGCGCAGACGGGCGGCTGGAAAGGAAAAGGGGCGGGCCGGGGCGGGCCGAGGCGAGCGGGGGCGGGGTCTCGCGCCGTCCTGGGGCGGCTCTTAGGGCCGGGCCCGCGCTGGAGCCGTGGACACCCGTCGTCGCTGTCGCCGCCGCCACCTTGGCTTCTGCTGCCACCGCCGCTGCCGGTCGCCACCATGAACCAGGATCTTCGCAGGGAGCGGGAAGCCGCCAGCTTCAACCCGGAGCTGCTCACGCACGTCTTGGACGGCAGCCCCGAGAACACCCGGCGCCGCCGAGAGATCGGTGAGGGCGGCAGACGAGGCCTCCCTCCTTGCCCGAGCGCGGCTCGAGATTCCCTCGATGAGGAGTCGTAGGGGGGCGCTGTGGAGAGTAGGCCGCAGCGCCTGAGCCGCGCGGGGCTCAGCTGTAGGGGAGCCGGGACCCCCACTCCCTGGGGCCCCCCCGGGGCTGAGTGACGGATGTCGTCCATCCCGAGAGGGGACCTGTGCCCGCACCCTGAAAGCTGCTGGGATTCAAGGTGTCACGGAGCCCTGAATTTCTGTCTTCCTCTTGATGCCCTTTAACTCCCTTGCAGAGAACCTGATTCTGAATGACCCAGACTTCCAGCATGAGGACTTGAATTTCCTCAGTCGCAGCCAGCGTTACGAGGTGGCTGTTAAGAAGAGCGCCAGCATGGTGAAGAAGATGAGGGAGTTTGGCATCGCAGACCCTGAAGAAATCGTGTGGTTTAAAAAGTAGGTATGCCTTCCCATAGATGAAGTGTCCAAGCCCAAACTTCACATTTAAACCCGCAGCCTGTGGCTTCCTTTTCCATCGGACTTGGTGTTTGAAGACTCAAATTGCATATTTTCACTCCACTTTAAAGTTACGTGTGTGAAAAACAGTGTCTGCTTTTGTACTGGAAGCCCTTTAAAAGGATGACATTTGTAGAAGGCTGATAATGAATGGAGATGCTGCAGGGTTTGGGGTTTTTTTCCCCTTCTTAAGAATCAGTACCCATTTGTTTGGTTCAAACATCTCAACTTGGAGTGATTTGAGTTGCTTGCAAAATGACTTTGTTCTTTGTAAGAAGGAGGCTTGTTAAATTTAGAGGCAGGATTTGGAATGATTTAAAAAAAAATTTTTTTTTAATGGTTATTTATTTTTGAGAGAGAGAGAGAGAGAGAGCAAGCAGGGAGGGGCAGGGAGAGAGGGAGGCACAGAATCAGAAGCAGGTTCCGGACTCTGAGCTGTCAGCACAGAGCCGGACAAAAGGGCTCCAACCCACGAACCTCGAGATCATGACCTGAGCAGAAGTCAGACAGCTGAGCCACCCAGGCGCCCCCACCCTGGGACAAATTTTAGTTGCAAGACCAAACAGTATCTTGGAGCAATAGCAGATTGTCTTTCCATATGAGAGTGTAGATCTTGAGTTTAAAATAATGGAAAATGTGGGTTGGATGAAGATTTCAGAATTGAATATAAAGCATTCTAAGAACCCAGCATTCTTGAATCTGGTTGCAGTGTGATTTAAATGGCTCTTGGGCATAGGAGACCTCAAAACGCCTTGGTCCTTATGCTGAAAAG